ACAGCCCCCTCAGTTTGTACAACCTCAGCAGCCTACAGCTTCCAGTCCCCAGCAGCCAGAGGAGCAGGTATTGGATTTTTAGCCTTTTTGTGTATGTGCATTTTCACTGTAGAACTTAGGACATGTTTATCATACGTTTCCACTTTTAATTTGTTGGAAGAAATAGTTCCTGTGTTGTTTCTCTTTATCAACACCAGTAGCTGCCATTTATTCTAATCATAACTGCTCTGAATGGAGGTCTCCATCTTGCCAAGTATCAAATAGCCAGACAGTGAATGGCAGTGGCAGGTAACCCCTCCTCACTATGTCTTTTCTGACCAGCCTATCATCTTGTTTGTAGAAATTGATTGCTGTTGCAGTGGATCTGTCTGTGTTGTCTGGTAGTATTGGGCAGTGGGAACACAGACAGAAGCAGATACTACACATTGCCAGTCAGGGTATAATCAGATAAACTGAAGTCTTAGAGAAAGGGACAAGTGTTTCTGGACTTCGGCTGTTCTGTAGAATCATTTGGGAAACTCAGCATACTTATTCCTGCGTCCCACTTTTGAGTGTCTCAGCTGATGTTAAAACTGCCCATCAGCCCTCTTGGACATCACTCCTTCAGGCCTTCAGTGGATGAAACTTATCTTCTAGTAGGTTTCTCAGAGAGGACACATTGAAAACTTTTTCTATATTAGCACATTACAGTTTTGCTTCACTGATAAGATTTCTCATTTTGTTTCTTTCACTTTTTAAAAACAAATTTTATTTTCCTTATGTCTGTGTGTGGGCGATGGTGCACATGAGGCCAGAGGACTGGTAGAGTAGGTTCTGTCCTTCCACTGTTGGGTTCTGTGGTCAACCTTAGGGAAAAGTGCCTTCACCGGAAGTTTACTGTTGGAGCTTTGTTGTTGCTGTTTCTGAGGCAGACTCTCACTCCAGCCTAGCTGGGAACTCAGCATTCCTTTTGCTCCAGCACCCAAGTGCTGGGATTACAGGGGGAACTGTGCCAGCTGTTTGCTATTTAAGTGTACATTTTTAGTAGTACTAAGTACATCCACACTATTGCACAAAGCATTTTTCATCTTGCAAAATTGAAATTTATTAACAGATGATAACTTCCTCAGTCCAAATACTGGCAGCTACCATTGTGCTGTGTTTTTGATGGAAAAACACAGTGCCTCATGCAGGGAGATGGAATCATGGTCCATGTGTCCTTTTGTGTCTCTTACTGTCACATCAGACAGATCATTCACTTGGATGTGTCAAGAACTTATTGGGTCTTACAGGAATACTTACTTTCCTGAGACAACACAGTTTTGTACTGTAGTGCTGCATTGTTTTACAATCCGGTCAGCACTGTGGACAAGGGTCAGTCTGTCCAAATCCTTGCTGATGGCTTGTTAACTTCTACTCTTGGGTTTTCTGTTTATTTTCATGTTTCTTGTGGTAGGGATCAAACTCAGTGCCTCTTGCAGGCTGGGCATGCACTCTATCACTGCACTTCCTGTTTAAGCCAGTTTTGTTTTGAGTAGCAGCTATCCAAAGTGAGAATGAGTTGAGAGTCTCCCTGGCTGATTGGACCAGCACAGCCAGCTTTGAAGGTTAGGTTTGAAGCTGTATCTTTAGGTGGAGACATTTAGGATCATTATGATCCAGTTGACCTCTATAATTAGTAAATGACCCTGTATATCTTTTTTTGCATCCTTTGATTATTACTAAGATTGTATACCTTTTCCTGTTTCATTTTTTCCTGGATGCTTTATTAGTTGATATTATTTTTTTATTTATTGTTTTTAGTCACTATTCTAGCTTGTTGGTAAATATCTCATTCTATTTGTGATATTTAGTATTTGTGGGTCATTTTAGGAAACAAATTGTATCCAATGAATTGATTTTTTTACATTTTTGAGTTTTTCTTTGGTTTTACAATAGCACTGTTCTGGAGGTTTTTATTTTAGGGTTTGCTTTTTTTGTTCATTCCAAAGATTGGGTTCCATTCTTGCTACTTCTATGTGTTCATAGTTTATATTTATATGAAACCTAAGCTACTGTTTATTCTTCCTCAGACATCAAATAAAAGCTGTCTTTTCACTGGCTGAAATTATTTTGCTCTTTTTGCACAAGTCACTTGCTAATTTTTTTTTCTTTTTTAAATTCAGGGTTCTGAACAAGGTTTAACTGCTCAAGAACAGGCCTTAACTGCTCAACAAGCTGCTGTTGTTAATCTTACTGGATTAGGTGGCTTTACACAGTCACCGGCAGCTGGTAGGTATCATCCTGACTCCTATTGAGACCTCACTGTGTAAATTATTTCCCTTTTCTTCCTTGCAAGCAGTAATCAGAAAAATCTGAAGCATTTTATCTGTGAACTATTAGATTAACAAACAGCTGGCCAAGAGTTTTTCCTTTCAAAATTACTTTGACAGTTGATTGTGAAAGCTTTGACTCATACACATAATGTGTTCTCTTTACAGTGGTTAACTGGCAAACTTTTACACATTTACCAAAGCAGTTTTAGTGTTTGCACTGCCAGTGGTTGTTTTCTTAATTATCTGGGACCACGTTTTCCTAGATAGTATAATTTTTCTCAGTTTGTAGTTGTATGAATTAAATCTTCATAATTAGCAAAACTTCTGTGAGCTACTTGTTTGTAAAAATGAAACTAACTTGAATGTTCAACTTTCAGTAGGAAATAGTAAACAAAAGGTAATATTTATTGAATTCTGACTTCACATTTGAATAAGCCACATGCTAGATTTTTCTTAAAAATAAATTAACAAAATAATAGAATTTGAGGATTCTGTCAATTGTCCCTGTGCACTGACCGTGCCTTTAGATTTCTGTAACTGCCAGTTTTCAAATTTAGATGTCCCTTAGTAGGAGGAAAATAATTCTTCCATAGAGCTATAATTCAGAATTAGTGAATTTCCAAATGCAGATTTGTAACTAATGTACCTTTACTACACAAGTTATAATTTTTCTAAAATAGCCATAGTAAATTTGTGAAAAGAATTGTAGACAGATCATGAGAATTTGTCTAGTTTCAAACAAACTGCAGTCACTTAGGCCAGATCAGCCTTTTCACCAGTACTTGAGAATGTTGAATGATTGGCATGGCCCCATCAGCTACAAGTCTTAGTTCACCTCTGCGTGCTCACTGGATGTTGTATTTTAAAAGATCGTACTATTTTACAACATGGTGGCTTCCAGACCAAGGTCCAGTATCAAGTTCCATGGGGATGCAAAGAGGATGCCATGGAGGCAGGATGTAGCTGAGGTGCTAGAGTGCTTCAGTACTGCAGAACATTGTTTACAATGGCACAAACCTATAACCAAAGCGTTCTGCAGGTGGAGAAAAGAGAATCAGGAGTTCCGGGTTAACCCCTTCTATCTACATAGTGAGTTCTAAAGCCAGTCTGGGATAAGACTCTTGTCTCAAAAAAAGAAAAACGAGGAGGAGGGAATGCAGTACCTTAGTCTGTGTATTCCTTTCCCTCTGTATGGCCAGAATGTTCTGGAATCAATGATACCCTCAATTAGCAGGAGACTAAATTTATTCTGAAATATGTATGATTTGATACTTAAGGTTCTCATTTTCTAACCCTGGTCGCCTTCAAACTTTTTGACTGGCCTGCTTTCCCCTCTCCTGTAGTGTTGTCTCAGCTCTGCTCTGCTGAGAACAGACCTGAGCAAAGCCTTCCTCAGCAGAGACTCCAGCTCTCCTCTGCCTTGCAGCAGCAGCAGCAGCAGCAGCAGCAGCAGCAGCAGCAGCAGATTCAAGTAATCCAGCAGCTTCACTTGATTAATTAAGACCTGAGTTCCAAAAGTACTGTACACTGCCTTGCAGGAGGGGTACTTTCCTGTCTGTTAAGGCTAAAGCAGTTGGTCAGTAACTTAGTTTATTTAGAAGTCTGACATGCCAGGCAGCTTGGAGCACTGAGTGTATTTTATAACAATGTATGCTTTAGCCGAGCGGTAGTGTTGCACGCCTTTAATCCCAGCACTCCGGAAGCAGAGGCAGGCAGATCTCTGTGAGTTCGAGGCCAGCCTGGGCTACAGAGTGAGTTCCAGGAAAGGCACAAAGCTACACAGATAAACTCTGTCTCAAAACAAAACAAAAAAAATAAATAAATAAATAATGCATGCTTTAAATCCTTTTTAAGGTCTTGGTGATACATTCCCCCACACCTCTTTAATGTGCATTGTATTTTGAAATAGTTTTAAGTGCCAAGTATTAACTTTATGATTCTGTACTGTGGGGATGTTCCTGTTAGTAAATGTCATACATGTTTAGAAAAGTGTTACATATTATTTTAGGAAAGGATGTCAGCATACTATGATCGACTCTTGATAGTTGGTTTATTTTGCTATGAATTATCATTATACAACAAAATGGTAACTGAAGTTGCTGCGTTACTGCAGTATGACTGCCAGGGCTAAGTAACAGATAGATGTGATGCTTTCAGCAATCGTATTTAAAGCCCTCAGCAAGCTCCTGCACTGTCTGTCTGGGGTAGTACCCTTTGTTACCCTATGCTTTCTCCTCTCCGGCTTGTTTTCATCACTGTCCTACTGTCCTGGTTGGGGAAGCACCTTGGCACACCTGTGCATTTAGCATAACGTGATTTTTTTTTTCCCTCCCTTTTGCAGCAGTTGCGATTCTTGCAACATCAGATGGCTATGGCAGCAGCAGCCGCACAAACAGCTCAGCTACATCGTCACCGGCATACAGGTGGTCAGTCAAAGAGTAAAGTGAAGAGAGGCATGCCAACCACTCCAAAATTCTGAGCAAAATTTCTTCTTTTTTTCTCTTTTTTTTTTTTTTTTTTTACAAACACAAGGCCATTGAACAAAAAGAATTGTATTTCTACTTCATTTTTTTCCCCTAAGATGTCAGTATTTTACATTGATAGATATGCATACTTTATACAAAAGCACAACCTTGTGATTCTTACATGGGTTAAATGTTTTCCTGTATATACCATCTACAGAAATAACCTAAGAACCACTAGAAATATCTTTCAAAGGAATGTAGTTGGTATTTATTTAGTATAAAAAACCTGCACAGTGTAACAAATACAGTTTTTACAGCTGTTTTGCAATCGTGGTGGCTGTTCATTTGTGTTTCATACTCTGAATTACTTCATCTAGTAGCTTGTTCACTTCTTTGTGTCTCGTAACTGCTCGACTCATGCAGTCCTGAAGTTTAGCTCCAGTAAGTCCACTCCCACCTGAAAAATTATGCCAATTTTCAGTGTTCCCATTATTTTATGAATATTGAACATCATGTCAAATGTTTGCCGCCTTTAAGTCAAACATCATCTAAATCAAGTGGTATGGTCTCAAGATTGCAGGGTAGTTTAGGAAGACTCCACAAGACAAATATGTCCGAAGTTTATGATATACAACACTGAGACAGCAAAGATGCCCAATAAACTTAAATTAGCAAAACAGTCAAACATCCCACACTCTACTCGACACCCCAACTACTCCCCACCTGCTCCCCACCACAGTTTAGAGCTGCTGTGGAAACAACATACCTGGCTTGTGAAGACAACACAGCTTGCCTTCCTCATCCATTACTATCGTTAAGGTTCCTGTTGATAGGTGTTCCTCCTCTCCAGTAGGATCAACTATCAGCAAAGTGCTACATTTTAAAAAAAAAAAAGTGTTTAAAAAAATTTGCATTGTGGGAGGTAGTACCAATTTTAGGAAGAGACTGATTTCAAACAGTACTGAAAGACCTGCTTTGATTTCAGCCTATGGAAGAGCTAATCCAGAACTGGAGGAAGCCAGAGTGGCAGCACCCTGCAGCCCAGTATTTGTGAACTCCTTGCCCTTCAGCTTGGGAACATCTTAGGTTCTGCAGCAAATACTGAAGAGTTTCAGAGGATTCTAGAGTAGTAGCTTGGAGCATAGCTCAGCAATGAAGCACTTGCTTGTGTGAAGAGGCCCCATACAGTCCCTGTCACCAAAAGGGGTAAAGAAATGCAGGGGCAAGTGAGGGAGCACAGAATTGGTCCTGTACATCAGGATGCCCTGCAGATGGCAGCTCTGACTGAAGGAAATGCAGGGCAGGACTAAGATGTCCATGGCAGAGTAGGGCTGGTGGTCAACTGGGGACATTCCTTAAAAAGACAGCTAAGTAACAAGCCATTATCTTAACTTACTCATCAAACACAGCAAAGGAAGTTGCAACTGGGTTTGTTCTAACATTCAAATAACTTTTCTTCTTTAAATTAGCTTCTGCTAAAGCAGTTTCTTCGTTTATAGTAACTTCAGGCAACTGTACTAGAAGAAGGCAAGTAAACATATAAAGTGAGTGTTTCAATGCTTTCTTAACTTTTCCCTGTTTAGCTTATCCAGAAGAGTTACTGATTTGACAAGATCTCACTATGTAGCCCATCTAGCTTGGAACTCACTCTGGGACTAAGAGTTGTGTGCTCCTCACCTGGTATCAGTATAGTTTTGTTTAAATATCTCATAACAGTTGAGGTAAATATGGTAGAGGAAAACTGCTTTTCAGAACATCTTATGTTCCAGCCAAGCTGTTTTGGTTTTTTATTTTCCCCAAGACAGGCCTCAAACTCAGAAATGCCCCTGCCTTTCCTCTCAAGTGGTGAGATTAAAGGCATGTGCCTCTGCCAATGTCGCTACCTCCTCTGGACTAGAAATACCTATTTTATAACACTCATTTGGTCAGCTACCCTCCTAAAGAAGCAAGTGCTGCTCTTCAGTACCATTTTATTACAGAGGAAGCAAGCAGGCTGGATGCAGGTTAACTAGGACTACACTAACACCACTATTAACTATCTTCCACTCTAAGTTGGATGTTTTTTATAGACAGGATCCTGTTTTGTAGTCTGATCTGGCCTCCAACTGCCATCCTCACCCACTGTGTTCTGAGATTACAGGCATGGACAACCATGCCTGGTTTAGTTTTATTATCCATTCAGCAATGCAGAACGACCTGGAATATGCACAAGTGAAAGAAAGACTTGGAGCTACCCAGGCCCTTACTAGGGAACATCACTATCAGGTGGTATTTAATGGTCAGTCTGCATGAACCATCTGGACTACAGTGAGAATCCTGTATCCAAGCCAGTGGATTCTAGGAAGGACTGCTGCCCTAATGACTACAAATGGAGACAGTCACAGCAATTCTAAAGGCTACAGACATTTTTACAAAACCCTGTAAAGTGAACTAACTTAGGAGCACAAGCTGGGCTAGGTAGTTCATACTTAAAATGATGTTGCCAGCATCTGGGAGGCTGAGGTAGAAGAATTAGGAGTTCAAAGCCAGACAGGGCTAAGAGATACTCTGTCTCACAAAACAAAAATCATGTGAATGATAACTCAGTCTCAAAAACACCCTGTAAGAGGTTTTGGCCAGCTGGACTCTGAGCATATTAGCAGGAAAATGGTTTTATTAAGGTTGCTTACCATTTTTTAAAGCGGCTAACAAAGCAAATGTGCAGGCATCCAAAATATTTCCATCGTAGTCTAGGCAGATAAGGTCACAGTACAGAACCCAAGCCAGCTAAAACAGTTCACACAAAAGAAATCAGACCTCATAACAGAATTTGTGTATCCTTAGGCCTAAGAATTATAGAGTGTTGATTAGACAAACAAGATAGACTTGAAGGCCTAATTTTTTTCACTAACATAAAGTCGGAAGTCAAAGTGGTCAGGTCACACAAGCTGGGCTTGGACTAGCAAACCAACAAGTGAGAACGGCCCTTTCTCCTAAACAGAGCTACAGGTGCAAAGAGGCAGTTTTATTCTCGCTGCTAGGCTAGCAAATAAAAGGCCAGGTATAATCTGTGCTCTCCTAATGTGCAATGGAGGTTTTACATGCTAGTTAGCGCTATGATTAGCAAAGGAAGCCGCTGTAGGACGATACACATGGGTTCACCATAAACATCAGCACGAGTAAAACCTGATCTCAGGGATAAAAGACCTGTTTTTGTTGTTGTTTTAAGAGGAAAGGTGGTGTGTGTGTAACCTTAGTGTGAAAGTTAGCTCCCAGACGGGTAATGTATTACTTGTTAGCTGGACACAATGGCACGAACCTGTAATCCCAGCTTTTGAGAGACTGGGTAGGAGGACTAGCAGGTAAAGAGTAGCCTGGGTACACAAAGTGAGCCTAGCTCATCAAAATAAAAAAAAACCACATGGAAGGAATTTATGAAGCGATGGTTCATAATTATGAGAATTATGGAATAAAATGAACTTTTACAGAATTCCTTCTAAACTCTAGAATCTCAGGGTTTAAGGTTGTTGATTCATTCCCACTACCACATTAGACCACCCAGCCACTTCAGAGTTCATAAAAGCTCAGTCTGTTCTTACCTTGCCTGGAGAAATGCATAAGTCCTCTTTCTTAATTATCTGTGAGCTTGATTTAATGATAAAGAACACAATAAATGTGAAGGCAAAACACTTAAGAATGCATGATGGCAAAGTTTTATCATAATAGTCTTACTTTTCAATGACATCTGCAATGAACTGGCTGGTCACCTGGGCCTCTTCTCCAGGAGGTCCAGTCCGAAACCTCGATGAACACAGCGGTGGCAGATCCACGTTAGGGACTGAAAGAAACACTGCAGGTGTGAACTAAACTTCACCCCTGACAGCTGAGGTCACTAATACAGGGACTGCTGCACAGCATAGGGGACTAGCCAGGGACAGACGCTTCGGGTGGAAAGATGGCAGTGCTAGAACTACATTTTTCTCAGATTGCCAGGCTCAGAGAAAGGAAAATTTATACTTGGCTTAAAAAGTTTATTACATTTCAATCATAGTTCTTTACAGTTTTTCTGCCTTTCCCCCCCAAATACCTATCTGTAGCAGGACAGTCCTTGGCTCACACCCAACTATTAAAGTTTTAAATGTTGGTTCCTACCTCAAAGAAAAGATAATTGAAGACCAAAAATATTGCCCACTCTAAATTGAGTGCAGACCAATTTCAGTCTGCAGTGATGGCCTTCACCTACAACTACCCTTGGATAAGGAATGTGTACAACTGAATGTGTAAACAAAGATTACCTACCCATATGGGGTTGGCAAAGTTAAGTTCATGGGATGTACCTTGTCTTGGTTATCTTCTAATAAGCAGAAAGTTTCGGAATAAGGGAGGCATTGTTCTATTTCTGAATATAGGGAATCACTATCTACCTCAATTATCAGCACTTCACTACAACAGTTAACTTTAAACTCCCTCAAGTATTTGTTAAAATTACAAGAGCATTTAATGTTGGGGAATATTATTTTAAGGTGTGTTACTTTTATGTTGCATTTTTTTAACTCTGAAGCTATGTTACTGTGTTTGTCTAAAACACCGGATGGTCTAATATAGAACTGAAAGGCCAATAGTGAGGCAGGAGAGAGAGAGGTAAGCAGGGCTGTCAGGCAGAGAGGAGAAATAGGAGAAATTTGGGAGGCAAAAGCAGCAGCCAGAGAAGGAGGAGGACTCCAGGGGCCAGGCACCCAGCTGCACAGCAAGCCACAGAGTAAGATTTACAGAAGTAAGAGAACTGGAAAAGCCTAGAGGCAAAACGTAGATGAGATAATTAAAAGTTAAGAAAAGCTGGCAAGAAACAAGACAAGCTAAGGCCGAGCATTTACAATTAACTATAAGCCTCCCTGTATGATTTATTTAGGAGCTGGGTGACTGGCCCTTCAAAAAAGCCCAAAGAGTAGAAAAACAACCAACAACGATTTAACTCACCAATATATCCTTTATCAGGGGCATCTAGTGGTGGCGCTGCAAATTCCTACAAGAGCAAATCAAATCAATGTGTTCTACTGAAGCCACTAAAAAACTATGAAGACCAAAAAAACAAAAACAAAAACAAACAAAAAGCCGGGTGAGGGTGGCACACGCCTTTAATCCCAGCACTCAGGAGGCAGAGCCAAGTGGATCTCTGTGAGTTCGAGGCCAGCCTGGGCTACCAAGTGAGTTCCAGGAAAGGCGCAAAGCTACACAGAGAAACCCTGTCTTGAAAAACCAAAAAAAAACTATGAACACATTCTAGCAATTAGTTACAGAGGCAGTACCAAAGACCACGTTAGCCAATAATCCCATGTTTAGCATCTATACTGCTTGGGGAGTTATGGCAGGGTCCCAAGGATACAGGCACTGCACTTCCCAATGGTTCACAGGATATTTACAAGGGCAGTGTAATCAGACTGCCGTTCATCAACATGACAAGCCAAGAATCTGAATTTAATCACGTGACACTTAACATGGCTAGACTTAGTAACTAGTACTGGTCAGATGTATAGTAACTAACAATAACAGGCCAAGGTCAGCTGTAGACCCACAATTCCTAGGGGCAAGTTATTTGACCTTGTAAGTTTCTCTGTCACAGGGACAGATGAACAGTACCTGCCTACTCCTAGGGGCTATTCCCAAGTTCCAAAGTGGCATTAAGTTTCCAGTATAAACCTGGCAAGGGGTCCGTGTTCCAATAATTACCACTTCAGCTTGCCCATAGACCTAAAGGAGGAAAGTCGTTCAGTGTAGCATCACAAAGCACAGGCTTTGTCATCAGACTCTGTTATGAGCCCTACACACCTGGGAAAGCTACTGAATTTCAATGGGCTGAGCAGGGGGTGGAGACTGGTAATTCTGAAAGCGCCTAATAAGATGCTCCAACAGCAAGCGGCCAGCAGATAGCTACTGTTCCTTTGTGAGTAACAATTAAAAACTATCAATGACTAAAAGATATCCCAGGAACAATCTTAATCCCCAAAACGATATTGCCAACATCTTAATTAAAGTATGAAGTGCTGAGATTCAGTTATTCGCCCTGGAAAGGGTTACACTCACGGGTTGAAAAAAATATTGGGGGGTGGATTACAACTCTAAATCCTGACCCGTAATTAATTACAACCCTGTAAGCATGAAGCTAATTTGGAATTCAGCCATCAAAAGACATACAGTGAACCTACTGCTTTTACTCCACAAATGACTGTGGTGTTCCCCAGCTTCACGAGAGCAGAACCGTCCGCCGTACTGATGGAACCTGGAAAGGGAAACACGGTTTTTATACAAAAGCCTTAAAAAAGCAAGGAAAATAAATAACCACAAAGTTATTTTATAAATGCTTTAGTTTGTATGGTTATCTGGCTAGACTTTTAAAGTTGCCTCTGTAACTTGACAGGTTCAAGTCAGTGATTTGAAAATGGAATGACTGATGTCTTAATTTTTCTTTTCGTCTGTCTCACAGTTTGAGCTGATTAATCGTATTTAGATCAACTACATGGGTGGTGTAATGATAAAAACCTTAACATCATCAAATGCCTTAGGCATAGTAGAACTGGCTAAAACAAAAAGTGGCACACAGGATGGGGGGGAGGGTCCCACCAGCTGAAATAAAGTTATCTTCACCTATGTTGACAGTTGTGGTTCTGAATTCACCAAGTTCTCTTCCATCAGGACGGCAGTTTTCTTTCTAAATGTTTATAAGGAAATAGATTACACATGTATTTCATGTATGAAAGGGAAAACACATTAAGCTCTATTAATTAAATGAATTCAAAAACTATGCCTTAATGCATGACATTTTTTATCAAAAGCCCTAACGTACAAAATCACCTTTACTCACCAGAAATCTCCTGTAATACTCCAGTGGCTCCACAGTTCTGAAACATGTGAAAAGTATGTTAAAGTAAGTCAGTGCATCCTCGAGCATGAACCTAAGAGTGTGGAGCCGAGACAACAATCTCCACACTGTTTCAACCATGTTTATAAACAGGCCTTACAGCAGCAAGCAGTCTCCATCGGGCACCTTAACTGTGCCCCAGTCAAGAGGACTGGAGTCCACGGCCCTTGACACACTCAGAAGAGGATGAGCTTGGGTGTCAGTCATGTGCCTCTAGTTCTGAAGAAGTAGGGAACACAGTATCTGAAGTCCCGCAGGGAGAGGCATTGGCAGTCCCTGTAACTTAGGACCACGGAGGACTGTGTTCTCACAGGTACGGCAGGTACGTTTGGCCTCTTCAACTACACGCAGCCAAAAGTCACAGCAGGTATGGGTGCATGCCCTCGCAGACACACGGGTTTGCGGTTTACACGCGTGGGCAGCCCGGGGCGTTCTCAGAGCGCCCCCAAAGGTTTCAGGGTCCCCTCCGAGGGCGGCACTCTGCTTTCCGGCGTGGCGCTCGGTTAAGAGATCGGCGCCGTCCTGGCCGCACTGTCCCCTCAGCGCCTCCTCCCGTGGGCAGAGCCCTCCCGCGGCCCCCCCCCCCCCCCGAGGACTCGGGGTCCCCCGCCCGCCGCCACGCGCCACACCCGCGCCTCTGTGCGCGCCGCCACTCACTTGAACCCGGCCGCCATCTTCCCGCCCGCGCCGCGCCTGCGCAGCCCGCCGCGCCTGCGCCCTTCCCTCTGCAGGCGTGTCTCCAGCCCGGGGGACTTGGAGGAGTCCTGGGTGAGAGAAGCACCTCCTTCCGTGGAGGCTGCCGTGTTCCCGGGGTACGCGGCGTGAACTCCAGCTCCGGCGACCCACGAGCACCTGCTTAGGACCAGGCCTGTTGGGGACGGCCGGGTCGGTACGGCTCAGAACCCCCACGGGCCTGTGCGCACGTGCACACACACACATACACGCGCGAAATAAACGGAGAGACTGTAGCAGTCCACGGCTCCCGGCATCCTTAGCTGGCTGCACGGCCCGGCATGGGTGTGAGGCTGGTGGCGCCCTCAGTTTGCAGATGTCCTGCGCGTTGCACTCGGGGACCGGCCGTGCACTCCTCTGTGGAGCCGCGCGAGGGCGCTGTGGGTGGCGTCGGGTACCTGCCGTGGCGAGGCGCGGCGCGGCCGCGAGGTGGCGCTGTGGGCGGCGGCCTTGGGCCAGCAAGGCCTCTCCTGCGGGGCGGGGCGGAACGGGGCGCGGCGTGGCGCGCCGCTTCCGCGAATGTGGAGCTGCGGGATGGCTTCGCTGCTGCTGCTGCTGCAGCTGGCGGGGCTCGGCGTGGCGCTGGCGGCCGCCGGGCTCATTTTGGTGAGACCGTGGTGGATTCCCGTGCTCCGGGCTTCCCCTCCGCGCTTCCCACGCGTTTTCGGGCCTCTGGCACCCAGATCCCCTGCAATGCTTGACCCTGTTTCTCCTTCGGAACCTTGTCTAAGTGACCAGTCTCCACCCAGCTTCCCAGGCCCCCTGCCTGTGGACCCTCGCCCGCCTAACCTTCATTCCCCAGCCTTCCTACTGGGCCTCCAGACTGCAGTTCTGACCCTCCTGGTGTGCCATGTGCTGCAGCCAGGAAGAGAGCTGGGGACCCAATGGACTAGGGACAGTGGGTGAGCAAGAGACAGGCCCAGACCTTGTTCTTGTCCTTTCGGCCAGGGGTCGTTTTGTCCCAGAATCAAGCACCTTAGCATTGCCTTTGCCATTCTTATAGAAACGTTGCAGACCCTTGCTGGTATGTAGAAGAGGGCTGATTTGCCAACCGAACTCTGCAGCCACACAGTACTGAAATAACCTGCCACTCATTCGGTAAACGGAGATTCTGAAAAGCTTCCTTGGTGTTAGACAGTTGGCCAGGAAGGCCCTTGCCGCCTTGCCATGCATGTATACTCACAGTCTAGGAATGGTATAGCCTGATGACTTTGTTGCTGTGTGTCTGGGTGAGCCAGGAGCCCTCTTCCTAAAATGCCTGCCTTAAAGGCTTGGAACAGATCTGGATTTGGTTGGCACAGTTCTGAGTTGAGGCTGCCTTACTCTGAATGTGCTGCACAGATTTAGGTGGGTTGGGTGCACGGTGGGGTTGGTGGACTGTATTGGATGCCACTGGCTGGGAGTGGAAGCGGTCCCCTTTATTTCACTGCATGCATGCTGCACTTGGCATGCAGTGAGCTGCATCCTGAAACACAGTGTCCGTCCACTTGCTGTCATCCTTTCTCTCCACGGTGTCCCACGTCTTAAAATCATTTAAAAACAAATCCAAATAACATTTCAGCCCTCTCTCATCTGCATTCACTTCTATCAGGACCCTCTTTTAAAACTGTGACTGCAATAAGGTAATTCCAACCGTCTTTAAAAACCTAACTAGTATTTCTGAGGTTCTAAAAACCCTGTCAATTTAAATACTCTGGGTTTGCCAGTGTGGATGTCACAGATTGCCTCCCCAAGCATCTTTAACTTGGTCTGCCCTCCAAATTTCTTGTAGGATCTGGAGATTTCATTATATGCACATGTGAGTCCTTTTGACGGCTGTGGGGGTGTCCCCAGGTTCCCAGTGAAGCACCTTTTATATCCGGAAGGTCAAGTCTTTAAGATCCTGAGATGTTTCCCTGGTGTCTTAAAACGGTGGCCAGCTTTTATTCTTATATTATTGGAGACTTCAGGTTTCCTACATGTTTCCAGCCACTGCAGTGATTATTCATGTGATGCTGCCATCCCTACCTCACAGGCCCGAGAAGCACTTCAAGTGACCCACCTGTCCCTTTCCCTGAAGCCCTCGTGATGACAGATAGATTTTGCTTTCTGTATGACATGCTGTGTTAACATACACCTTCCCACCCCGGATCTGAGTTAATTGTCTCTTAGGAGCATTGATTGCTCTCTGGGAAAACTGAATTCAGATGTCACAACCTGGACAATAGTGTGCACAACCAGACTCTTCATTTTTTTTTAAGATCTTATTTTTTTAAGTGTGTGTGTGTGTGTGTGTGTGTGTGTGTGTGTGTGTACCTGCACATGAGTGCAGAAGTCAGAGACAGTGGGTCCCTAGAGCTGTACTTCCAAGCAGTTAGTTGCGAGTCTCCACATGGGTGCTGGGAACTGAACCGGGTCCCCTGCAAGAGCAGCCAGTGCCCTCAACCACTGGCTCAGAGGAGGACTCCTAGTTATCAGTGTGGCTGCTGCACCTGTGCTCATACTCGTCAGTACATACGGGGATACTCGAGATAGTCGTCCAAGTAGAATTACAAACGTGTAGCTTCTCTTCAAACAAACTTCTCCAATGAAAACGGTGATACAAATTATGGCTCATCTCCAAAGTGCTTGTAAAAGGCACTCATGAGTTTGTATGTAATATTTATTTTTATTTTGCGTGTATGAGTGCTTTGCATGAAGGTATATATGTATGTGCAGTGGGTGCATGCCTGGTGTCGTCAGATGCTAGAAAAGGCTGCCAGATCCCTTGGAACTGAGGTTACGGATGGTTGTGAGCAGCCTGTGTGGGTGCTGGGAACCAAACCTGGGTTCCTTGCAAGAGCAGCCAGTGCTCTTAACTGCTTCAGCCCCAGGAGCCTACAAGTCTTATACTTTACTCCAGAAGATGCTGTGTTCTCAATTCAAATTAAGGATAAGTATCTGAATACATTCTTAAGTGTTACGGTCTCTGCTGTGGGGCTCCAAGGAACCTTCCTTCACAGGCTGAATTAGTTGGGTCCTTCGTGTTACAGCTGCCATATGGATTTGTCCTCTCACATACATGCTCCAGGCAGGAAATGGTACCTTACTGTCCATTTTTTTTTTTAAGATTTATTTATTATGTATACAGTGTTCTGCCTGCAGGCCAGAGAGGGTGCCAGGTCTCATTACAGATGGTTGGGAGCCACCATGTGGGTGCTGGGAATTGAACTCAGGTCCTCTGCAAGAACAGCCAGTGCTCTTAACCGCTGAACCATCTCTCCAGCCCCCTTTCTGTCCGTTTGTAAGAGTGGGCTGGACGTCCTGTGTTGACTCTTGGATCTGGCATAGAAGAGGCCCTGAGGAATGAGAGGTAGAAACAAGACCTCCTAAAACATTTAACACATTACTATTGGGGTCAAGGACAGTCGTCAGTTCATAAGGGGCTGATTAGGGGCTTGCTGCCATGTAACAGTATAACCACCTTCAGAACACTGTTAAAGAGTCAAACCTGAGACTACATATTCTCCCAAACAGCAAAATTAAAAAAATTGTGCAAATGATGTTTTAACACAACAAATATTCAAAGAGATCAAAGTAACCTGCTTTTCATGTCTACCTTTAGGTTTCTGTCATTGCATTTATAACTGCTACAAAAATGCCACCATGTCACCAACATGAAGAAGAGAAATTCTTTCTCAATGCCAAAGGCCAGAAGGAAACTTTACCCAGCATCTGGGACTCACCCACCAAACAGCTGTCTGTTGTGGTGCCTTCCTACAATGAAGAGAAACGGTGTAAGTTCTACTTGAGTCCCTTCCCTGATGGGTCCTTAGGGAAGAAAAGGAATCATGCAGTGTGCACACTCACTGAGAGGAGTGTGTGGTTGGCAGCTGGGGTTGGGAAGAGGGAAAGTGAGATGGCAGGATTGAGGTTTTCTAGAGAAGTCCTAGGATGAGAACAAGAGACGTTCTGGGTGAGAATGGCCTGAGTGACATCCCAGAGGGTCTTGGTAGGTGACAGGCACACCTTCCCTATGTGAATGGAGTATGCTGGACTAGCTAAATCATATTCAAAAGCAATCTCTAAAATATTTTTCCCTTTAGTGCCTGTGATGATGGATGAAGCCCTGAACTACCTAGAAAAGAGACAGGTATCACACTTCCCTTTCAATGTCACACCTCCAGTTAAAACTAAAGCAGGTCACCAATTGTAGACCCTGAGCTAGGAGCACTGTGGGAGGCAGGCCCAGCATGCAGCATGCTCCCTCCAGAGGCAGACAAACCAGGAAGCTGGCATTTCTCTGATGTACCCTCCCCCACCTCCTAATTCTCTCTTGCCTGGTGATATATTATAGATTGTGTTTCAGTGAATGTGTGCAGGCTCACTACGGTGATGTCTTTAAAAGAGGTGTATGTGTGTGTGCATATATTCATGTACAGAGATCCATTGGAGTCTTTATAACATAGTCTGTAGAACTTTGCTTCTCAAATGAATTCACATTGATTACGTGATACAAAGGTACAGTCTTAAATTTTTTAATTATAAACTAATCACACAAAAATAAAATATTTTAATACAACCTTCCCTCAGAAACAATCCCAATATTGGGCTTATTTGCATCTAAACATGCATGCAGGCACTCAAACATCCTAGGCAGGCATACTACAGGGGCTGTATATCCAACCCTAAAAGCTGTCTATTTTTTAATGCTTGCACTTTTTATATTCAGAAGCACAGTAATTCATATCTCTCTTTGGAGTCATCTTGGGACAGTTAAAGATGGAGTGAGCTTTATACCTCATCTCTTTCTATCTCTGTCTAGAACTTTCCTTATATTACTTTGCTTTGCTTTGGGTTTTAAGA